GATAACACTAGACCACACACTTGGTTGGGACGTGCTAATGCATCCATCATATATTCCTGATCTTGCATTCTCAGTTTTTCACCTGTTTTGGTCTATTTAGAATTCCTTTGGTGGTGTTAGGTTAACTTAATTTTTTTATAGAAAACGGGATTATATAACTACCTGCAAAATGGCAAAGTGTTAACAAACAAAATAATTAAACTTGAAAAAAAAAAGTCTTGAATTTTTATATAAAATACGAAGAAACTTCTTTCCCGACCATATATCCTAGTATCCTGATCGGGATCACCAAGATAATTCCACCTGAAATCATTACATCTCATGATGACTGCATGTTTTCTAAGTTTTCTTAAATTTTAATATAATTATCATTCATAATACTAAGACGTAGGTTGTGCCCAGCTGAATTTTATTTAAATTGTAGTACCAGCCTGCTTTCACTTCAAAACGTAATTCAAATTATAAAAAATTAAATGTTTTTAAAGGGAGAACCAAATTTTCCCATTTTTTAAATCGAAAAATTTATTTTTAAATGTGATGTATGATGATTAATCGATTACAAAAGAAAATACACAAGTTTATCATATAAGTATAAGGAGAATAAGTAATTAACGAATTTTATATTATGTTCCAAATATTTTATTATATAATTTTAATACTATTTACCTTAATATAATCGAAAAATATATAATCGACTAATTTATGTTCAAAACCTAAACCACAAAGCTATCTTGTTTGCATCCGCACAAAAAGAATTAAAAAAAAAACAACTTCGTAAAAAGATAATTGAAGAAAAACATCCATATTTCTTACGATAGCCCGACAGATGTTTTCACTCTTCAGTTCAGTGTGATAATAAAAACGTAATTAGCAACACTCTTCAAAGGTAATCTCGGGAGATTAATCGTTTAAATTACCAGTTCTCCAAGTAGTCTGGCAATTTTCATATTTTCTTTAATATGCAGGCAGGCTTTTGTGAGGCTCTTAGGTACTTATGTATACGCGATTTACCAAAAATACTATATAAAATTTATAAAAGACGTGATCGTGAACATAATATAACTTTTTTCTTGCATTTCCTTTATTCTCCCGTGTGTCGCCCAAATTTTTTTTTTAAGAATAAGGGTGACAAACGAGCATTCATTCCACCTGATGATAAATGGATCATTATCATCATCATTATTACAGTCCCTTCACAAGTCCACTGCTGAAAATAGGCCTCTCCTGCCACAAAGCACGGTCCTGAGCCCCCTGTATCCATCGACTTTCAGCACGTCTTACCAGGTCATCTCTCCATCTAGTGGGAAGTCGCCCTACTCTACGCCTACCGATACCAGGCTGCCACTCGAGAATCTTTTTCTCCATCGGTTGTCGTTTCTTCGAGCCATATGGCTGGCCCATTGCCACTTTAGCTTACTAATTCCGTAGGGCTATGTCAGTATAAATGGATGTTGTGACCCATATACATCAATCCTTGATAAAGAATCAAAATGTAGATGCGATAATAAAACTGGGGACTAAGATGGAATGCCTCGTTTCCAGTAAAAAGGGTTTTTGATTGTCCACACTAATAATACGCAACACAGGAGCATCAAGCTGAAGAATTTTACGCTGGTATTCTGTGAGAGCTTGATTTTTTCCGTCTTGGTATATTCCCTCACTGATGAGTTCTGATGGGAAGACAATCCAACACGACCGGAGAAATATCAAATTTTCCGTGCTGTCACAATTAAAAATAAAAACGCTTTTAAATAGAAATATGGAAAAAAACACAAAAGTTTGATTTTTATTTTTTCGTCCAGCCAGTTTTATTATCCTTAATACCGCATGCAAATATAAAAAATCTTACACGAACAAAATGAGACGTGTTTCTAATTTCGTACGTGTCTCGTACTGAAATTACCTGTGCGATTAATTGCAAAAGGCACAACAGATTATTAGAGTCGCTATGAAACGCAAACTTGAATAATTGAACTAATTTATTACATTGTAAGCTATGTTTTGATATTTATAATTAATTTCGCGTTGAACAAATTTAATCTTGACGCTAGATAATTGACCTTTACGAACGAGACCTTCCCCTGACGAAAATGAGGCGACGAGCGTTATTTATGTTGCGGTCGGTTACATTTTATGATATTGCGGAAAATTGCGGTGATAGAATAACCGAATATATGTACGTGTCAGTGTCTTTTGAGCGGCCACTCGTTTATGTGTTGCTTATTCCGTATATAATCTTACATCAGTCTAAGGGCTAGTTTGTATGAAAATAAAATCGAGATAAACCTTGGGGGCGTTGGCTGATGCGTTGGATGTGATTCTGTAGTAGCATTTTTGTAGTGTTCTCTTGTAATTTTGTGTTTTTTTTATAGCATAGGGTAACCAACCAATGAGCAGTAAGATGGAATACCTCGTTTCCAGTAAAAGTGTCTGCGGTTCTCTACACTCTCCATACGAAACACAGCAGCATTAAACTACTATTTTACGCTGGTATTCTGTGAGAGCGTGGTCCTTCCCCGGTCGAGCCTACTCATTCGTGGTACAACTATACTACTGACATAACTGCAGCATGGTCTACCACGTATAAAATATTGTCGTTTATCTTTGATTTAAATTTTTCATACTTTAAAATAGTGATATGCGATTATGATTTTTACTTACTTATTCAATCACTCTATTTATTCGAATATAATTTACGAGTAATTGTCAAAATTCCATTAATAATACTGTTGGCTTTGTATACAAATGCTGAAGTTCAAATTGTATTGTTCTTATTTAAATAACCTAATCTCTTCGTTAGAAAAAAAGAGGGTTACTAATAAAATTATATTTTTGTAGTGTATAAATAGTATTTACTTTAAAACAAAAATGTATTAAAAATGTTTCAAATAATATTTTATTTTTTTTATGAAAATATTTTATGCAGTTTTAAGCTCATAATCATATAAGATTATAGATGTAGTGCAAGTGGATCGTCTCGATCAAAAATGGACCACGTTCCCACAAATATCCATATATATGATATAAAAATATATTAGTTAACCTTCTAGAGGTATTTATAATAAGGGAATGGAATAAAAAATACTAACTTTAATTTCATATATATTACAAGAATACTAGTTGAAAAAGCATTCCAGAAAAAGTTCGAAAAAAAAGGTGGAACTATTCCTAAAATATTAATTAACAATATAACACGTTGTACAATGAAATATGAGAAACTAAACAGGAAGGTAGCGGTAGTAATATTCCCGGGGTTATTCAATAAAAAGTTACATAATTTTTGTGCAAAAAAATTATTAAGCGAAAATATTATTAGATCAGAGTCGCATCACACAGTTTAGTTTTATTTTTAAACCATCTCCATAGTAGGATTTTAATTAAAATGAATTTTTTTTATAGGCCATACAAATAATTGTTTCGTGCGGGATTCAAACGCTAGAACTCATTGCTAAGCCACTGCGTCACAGAGTCGGCAAATATATACAATATAATATAATAATACATATCATACATACTCTGGATATAAGAATACAACTTCTTCCCTTTTTAGGAAAATAATGGCGCTGATGACAGTTTGCCATTCGCGTTACTCGAATGTAGTTTTGCAAACGCCACACGTCTTGAAATGAGAAAAATAACACAGTCATTTAAATGCATGACAATTTGCTCTAAAAAACAAATTTCACATTATGTCATACTAAATTATCTTATTCGTTGCCCGAGGGCAAACTCTGTTTTCTCAATATCTCGGCTTCTTGGCGTTGTTTTGATGTAAAACACACGCCCGCTTTCTTCCCGGAGATTGAAGCGTACACAAGAGAATGCGTTAAATTATTAATAAAGTTTGCACACACAATACACGTGAGACTCCAAACAGGATTTGATGGCCCCTTGCGTTATAAGCTGGCATTCCTCGTTTCATGGTTGATGACAGATTTTTCTCGAATAATATTGAAATTATACGAAAACTCGATAGCGTTATTCCGAATAAACTGAAAATAATACGCAAAACTCGATTTATTTTCTACGCCGCTATTATATTTAGCGGAATATCCTCTTCTGTTTCTTTTGTACTAAGATTGTGCGTAGGGCCTGATTATCTTGTGTTTGTTGTTGATCTGCTCGCGTTTGCAGTTTTACCACTTAATTTTATTTGTTTATTTCAAATTTGAATGTATTCCCATATAAAAAAGGATATAAAGGAATTCTCTATCAGTCATCCCACGGAGAGATTCTGAGTTGTTTCCCCTTGTTGCCTTTTATGACACCCACGGGATGATGTAGTGATGTAGTGGGTATTGTTATACCACGGTATAATACCTCACAAAAACTACTTGAGGAGCCTATGGGAACGCCGAGCTATAAGCAGCGAAACTGAGTCGCACCGCGTCCTAAAAATCAAAGTTGTGGTAAAAAGTTTGAATTCAGTGCCGATTTATACTTTAAAAGACGCGAAATAACGTGTAATTCATAAAAGTGTAATTAGTTTTAGTCCGACGAGTGTTTAAAATTCATTTTTCATCAAAATAGTGTATTCTTAGCCAAAATTTGCTAACCTTCAAAACAGTTTATCGCGTGCGGCGCTCTTCTAGTCGCTATAACTCTATAACATTATTAGTACTATAGGTGCGGTACATTTAGACGCTTCATCCCCCAAAATTCTGGATTTTTCGGTGCACGGGTTCAGAAGTTATAGGCGAAAAACCAAAAACACGTGTGATGACCTCCCCATTTTAGCGCATCTAGTGAACTAACTAATAAACTGACTTTTGTGAAATTTAAAATTCTTTGAATTTAACTTTATTTTTGGTGATTTTATTTTGTGAACATTGTTCACTGACTCAATTCTGTGAGAGTAGCTATTTTTAGAATAACTCACATAACATTGTATAAACATTGAATATTTAGATTATAAGACATTGTGTAAACATGCCAGCGTCGCAGAGCGACCCCCTACCCTCCCGGCTTCGGCCGAGGAGGTCAAGGACTTGGACTCGTTCATGCTTGTAATAAACAAATTAACAGTCTGCGTAAACACTGCTATCAGCGAGAGAAAGAGCGTTTCCGCGGCCAATAAGAAGCTCATCAATCTGTCCATGGAGGAGATAAGACGTTCCACCCGCAACCTAAACACCGCTATTGCGTCAGCAACCCCATCTGCACTAGGAGAAATAAAGGAGGAGTTGCTTTCATGCGTGAAAAAAGAAATGGCTGACTTCAAAAAGTTGGTGACTGCCTCACAAGCGTGACCATCTTACGCCCAAGCAACTGCTGCCACTTGTGGTGGCAGGACTCCTGCGATTAACAAGACCTCTCCACCCTCCATCCCCCCGGTGACCAAACCAGATATTATAGTCAGCTCAACCGAACAGTCGAAGACATCGGAAGAAGTGATCAAGAAATTTAAAACCAGCATCAGTTACAGGGAGTCAACTTACGCACCATCCCGCATCCAACGTGTTTCCATTAATAAGCTACGTATCGAATTTGACAATCATCAACAACGCGACGACACACTCTCTCGGCTAAAGACATCCGATGAGGTCAAGGCCGAGCCTGTTTGAAGCCTCAGAACTATGGTTATCCTCAAGGGGATATCTAAAGACGTGCCGGCTGAGGACCTAGAAAATCATACGCCACCGGTGATTTTTAGGCGCTTAAACAAAGAGCTTGTGGAGATTGCGAACGACAGCATCGATCTCAATGACACATATTTTTATCGCTCAGATTCAAGCGGAACAATAGGAATGAGAACTTATATAACGCAGTTTTCCTAGTAGGTCAAAAAATTTACATAAAGATTATGGAGATGGGCCGCGTATGCATCGACCACCAGCGAATCCACCTGGAAAATTTTCACCCTTTCTGCAATGTCATAAATGCCTACAGTTTGGACATATGAAGACAAGATGCACCTCACAGAGAGTTGCTCCCACTGCGCCAGCAATGAACACCAAATCAGTGACTGTCCCGTGAAAAATAATCCGAAAACTGCAAAGTGCCATAACTGCCACTCACATAACACAAAATTCAACTCCGAAGCAGATATCAAACACCCAGCCAATTCGGACTCCTGTCCAAGACTTCGTGCCATGAGGGACAGAATCGCCAACAGAGTAGACTACGGCTCCGCTTAATAAATTAAAGCTTTTGTATAAGTATTATATACGTTTAATATTATTTTATTTTATTTTCTTATTTTAATTTAAAAAGATCGCTCAGTCTATTTCTAAGGTCTGAAAACACTATACGTATTTTCTTTGTTATTTTAACTTATTTTGTATTTTTCCTATATAAGTTTAGATTATACATTAAATTAAAAAAAAACCTTACTATTTCATTATTTTATTCTGTATGGTTTTTATATATTATTTCTTATTTTTTGACTCGTCCGTGCTAATTTGATTCGATGTGATTTATTTTTTATTACTTCTTTGTAAGTACTATGTATAACCTATTACTGCCACGTGTCAAACTAATTTGAAAACATTTTTTAATAAACTGTGTAAATATATCATAAATGTAATACACTAAGAAGAAGTCAAATTACCTCAACCATGTATCCACTTGCAGTGTTCGTGGTACCTTCTTCTTAGCGTTATTAAATAACTTTTTATAACTGCAGCTCCGTGGGTTAAATCATGTATCGTGCTCATGTATCAAATAGCAAGAAGCATGATGCCCCTTTCCAATAGAGCATTAAATAATCTTAGGTTTAATTGCCACCTAGGATATTTGATTAGAAAATTGTAAAATTACCGCGTAAATATTTTCACTAAATTAAGTACGTTAAGAAGAGGTTAAATTATCTCAGCACAGTATCCAATAGCAGTGCTGCGGTGCCCACTTCTGAATTATTTCATCAATATTTATATTTCATAGGACCAAAGATTGGGTTAAATCATCGCGCTCATGTATCCATTAGCAAGAAGCGCGGTGCCCCTTTCTACAGTATATTAAATAAACTTAAGATACAGTTATAACTTAAGTTTTGATGTAAAATGTAAAGGAAGGGGAAACCATTTAGCAGTATTAAATAACAGCTATGTGCTACTCCTTCCTTTGCGTTATAAAATTAATAATGTTGTGAATAAATTTACACTCTTAAGCTTTTAAATTGTAATATATGATACCAAACAAAATAATTTAAAAAAAACTACTTTGTTGTATTAGTAGGAATCAGCCAGACAAACAGCATAATTTTGCTTCTAGCATTATTATTCATTGTTTAGAAATTTATATACCTAGCTACTATAAATTTAAAATGTATGGAAATCTGTTTTGTCCAAGTCTGTGTAACATGTAGCGGCCTGCGATTTAGTGAGCGAAATCTGCGAAACTCTTGTCGAAACTGAAATAAATTAGCACTCAAAATAAATAAGAACGTGTTTACCATCTTTTAATACATTTCCGCTCGAAAAGTCTTAGTGAGGTAGTAGTACAAATAAGTTTTTTATGCGGGTAAATGAAAACGCTGGTACCGTTTGATACACGACACGGCGACTATGTGATAATTTTAATAGAAATTTATTATAACAGTTATTTTAAAGTTTTTTTTTGTGTAAATATTATATAAACATTATGTAAATATTATTTATATATATATATATATATGTTGTTATATAGGTTAACAATATTATATATAATATAGTCCTCAGAGAGAGAGAGAGAGAGAGAGAGAGAGAGATTGAGATTCAATTGACTACTTTAGTTTTATTGGATACATTCATTTAATTTCGATAATTTATTACGTAATACTTTGGGCTTGTAGTAATTTGGCATCGATGTTTGCTTTGACACGGCAAACATTGACTGCAGTGCTATCATCACACGGATTATATTGAACCGACTCGATATTTTAGTATCAATATGTGAGATATTTGTTGATGAAAATTCCTACTCTTATAAACAGCACAACATAGTAAAACAATATTGCACATATTTTACTAAATTTAATGTATTTAAATAAAACTAATTTTTTTTAGTTTTCATATTATATGTGTTCATATTATGGCACTAAGTAGGAGCCTATGGCATAGATACTACTTAAAACGAATTCTGTTCTACGTCACATGCAGAGCGTTGGCAACTCCCCAGCATGGAAACCTTGCCAACCAGAAAATCTACCATTTCGAAATTACAGGTAAAGTACAACGCTACAATGCCAATGTAGCGTTGTACTTTCTCCATCCGTGGAGAATCAAAATAAATGAAAAAGAAGTATGGTGCTTAGAAGATAGCTCAACTAAGGGCCGTGTAGCATCGCACTACGATGCTTAGTATAAGCGCGATCCCGAAAACTCCATTTGAAGAATGGATACGCTATTAGTGATTTTATCGGTCATTGTAATAGTTAATCGTGATTACCGTGGTGCATTAGCCGGTAGATGTTCGGTACCTTTTCTTTACCCCCAAGATAAAAAAGGCTGTGGTAGCCTATTTAATGATTGGCATATTTTTATTTAAAACGTTACCCCCACTCTAGGATTGTTTAAATTTTCCCTTGCAAGCAAAGAAAGTTGAATTACTATCGGCACTCGGCACCAACAAAAACATTTATTGCATTTTAAATGCTGCTTTACCATTTGCACGTCGGTGAAAACATAAATAGATTTAAGCTATTTTTAATTTTAATTTTATTTTGATATTTAAAATATATATCTAGTAGAAGGAATAGTGCTACATTCCTTCTACTAGATATATATTTTAAATGTCAGTTAAGGATCAATCTATTGTTTTCAGTTTATAATGCATTTTAACCTCCTTATTCATATAAACAATAGATTACCTTTAAATAATTGTAACACTTACGAGTACTCACTTACTTATTACTCCATCGAGCCAGTTCCTTGGCAATCTTCGAGTTAGAAGCAGTGTTGATTCTCAAAAAAATTTTTACGATAGTCGGCAAATAACAAGCACTTCGCCTTCTCAATGACCGTAGAAAGATAATTAATTACTTCCATAAATGATAATGGCTGAGATTGCTCCCTTGATTTACACCAGAATAAGTACAGAACGTTTACATTTCAAAACTTTTGTTAATAATTTAGGCTATTGTATTAATATAACGTGTTAGTATTAGCAATTGTGGTAAAACTAATTTTTATTATGCAGCATATATATTAAAGGTGCTGCACGACCAATGGAAACCATCGTGAAGATACTTTGCATATCCTCGTCCTTGCTCCTGAATCTTTCAGTGCATCACAAAACCATTCATGTGTGCAATAAGCAAGCAAATATACTACTCGTATACGATAATAATCTCATCAAGTTCGTTAATTCTTATCTATGGTTAATTTAATTAATGCGTCGATCAATCATGATAAAGTGGTTACTGTGCGAAGGCTTCTAAGTGTTTATTGAGTTATTTGTTTCGAATAATGATGGTCTATATTTTATCGAATGTCAAAAGCAGGAAGCTAAAGACAAGATTGTTAGCAATTTAATGGCTTAATCATTTTTAAAGACTTTTTTCTTGATAAGAAAAATAATTTTATTATTTGTAACTGATTATTATATAAATGAGGAATTCATCATTAAAGGCTATTAAAGTCTACTGCTGAACAAAGCGCTCTCCATAGATTGCCTCTTTATGGGAATATTTGATATATTTGCTTGACAGACGGGTTTACAATCACAGTATTAATTTTTTAGCTACTACTAAGATGCTGCTACTGCTCATATTCTTGTTAGCTTCCCCCTATCGCCTATTAAGACACTCATGAGACTTTATACGGCAGATGATATATTGACGCAACCGCGATACGGTCATGACGGTATATGACGGAATAAGACTGTATAATAATAATGCATGTTATATTCTACTTTTTAGTTTTTTTACACTGGTTATAGTAACTATTTCATCATCATCATAAATAAATAGCAAGTAAAATTCAACTACTTGTCTTTCCGATTTCTATACAATTGAGATGGGAGGGAATGGGATTTATCATCACGCTTGACAGGTAGACAAATGTTCATATTATCATTTGACTCTCACTTTAAACCAGGCTACTCATCGCCGGTCTTTCTCGTCGACGTTCTGTAAATGTAACTGATTACTGTTGTTAGTCTTTTGGCTTTTACAGTTTTATCTGAGTGGAAAAAGCCGCGAGATGGCGCTGATCTGTGTATTTCATGTCTGTTACAATAGGTAGGTACACAAAAACGTGAACTCGAGGAAAGTTGCTCACGTACACGCACACACAAGCGCGTGCCGCGCTCAGTCTCATACATATGTGCCCTGCATGCAGTTGATACCTGCATTTTGTAGGATACCTTATTACGCCTATTACCCAATTTCTTTTATAGTCTGTAAGTGGTGTAGCTATGGTGCAGCGTATTATAGATACATTACGAATTGGTAGGCTCAAACGGCAAGGACACGCAAAGGATATCAGCGTAAAAATCAGTACAATGCTGCTATATATGCTGCTGTTATATACCGCAGACCCTTTTTTCTCTTGAGACATTCCATATTAATCCTCAGCAGTGACAACTCAATTGTATTTTCATACTTATTCGAGGATATTAGGTGTCTATGACACGCAGTATCCACTCACCACTGGGTTAGACTGTGTCCTCGTTCATCATCCTTATCCAATAAAAATATCGCAAGATTTTTCTGACATTGGCCATAAATACTTATTTATGACTCCATTGCTATAATTTAGCACAAATTTATTTATTCAGTGCCTCTCCACAGGTGGATCGTTCACACGTCTAGCGAATTCTCACACTTCATAAAGACCGCTGAAGTGCACTTGAAAAGAAAATAGCCTAGACATTCGTAAGTACCCTACTCTTTACTTTTTTTCTTCACTTATATGCAGTTGGACTGCGCTCTGTAGATGTGAGAGGAAGATAAGAATTTGACTTGTCACCATTATTTATATGGAAAAAAATCAGCACAACTAAATTGTGTGGTACTAACACAACTTGCTGTACTTTAATCTGTCTGTTTGTCTGTCACAGAGGTTTTAAGCTGATAGTGTATGGACTTCTGGTAAGGCATAATGCTTTCCAACTAAATTACATAGTATATTGCATTTGAAACTCGAATATGACGAATACACGAAGAGGTTTATGGTATATTGCTTGATGTGTAATCAACTAAGCATTGCGACTGTTA